AAAAAAATAGAGTTGTGAGTCAAAATTGCGCACGTTCTTTAAATCTCTAGTAAACAGATATTTAAAAAAATGAATGACAGATCGGTAAATTATTAAGGACATTCGGGTGAACAAATTTTTGGTCACCCATCAATTGGTTATTTATCATTGTATATTTAGGGCCAAACATCTACGGCCTCCATGAGCATTCGCACTTTCAATATGGCGGATCATGTCTCTATTCTGTCTTGAGTCTTAGCATGTTTTAAGCACTCTCCCTGCTACTTGACAGGCGACAGCGAATGTGTGACACTTTCTATCCACACGGACCCACCCGTAGGCTAATCAAAACGTGGATGGTATACCCACTAAACATTGACATGAATTCATCATGCACTGTTAGGAAAAAAAAATTGAATATTTCTGGTTCTATTTAGAATGAGAAAGTATTAAAAAAAATAAACATTAGTTCCCGAAATCATAATACATGTCGCTACGGTACTTTCTCGATTTCTCCATGACAACTCTTCCGCTTTTCTTTCATGGAAAAAATTATATAATTATTAATTAATTTTCAAAATTCAATAAACAACTCATATTCTATTTGTACTTTTTCGTATTTGTATTGATATCTAAGTTTCGAACTTTTTAAATTTCAGTTTTTTAATATGTTAGTTAAAAGGAACGAAAATGACTGCAAAAGTCAACTTTTGGTAGAGTCGCTATCTAGTGAGGTGCTTTTTTAGTGCTTTCCTCTTTTTCTTAAAATCGTTCCTCATTATGTCTGCTTTTGGTTTATTTATTGTTATGTATATAACTAGATTACTCCTCGCATACTAAAACAATACTCAAATACGGCACCATACATTGCGACAATCAAGGAATATAATACAAAAAGTATATCTCTGTGATAGATAGGTAATACTCTAGGCGACAACTGAGCTTTGGAATTGGGACTATACTTTCCGTCGCGTTGTGAATTTTATTTTCTTAATAAATAAAATTAATAAAAATATAATTTTCCAATATTTGTAGTCTGTGTCTCAAATCAAACGAAATAACAATCAGAGCCCATGATGTCATTTGGGGGTATTTTTATAGTAAAAGCGCGGGAAACATTCAAAGTGCAAAATGAGTTTTAGAAAGTTAAAAGTGTCAGTGTTTTGTATTATTTATTTATGAGTTTGTCTATATGTACTAAATACTATTATAATCCATTTTTTTCTCTGAAAATCCCTTTTGATTACCCCACAAATGACGTCCACAGAGTCACCGTTTATGCGGTTGATTTAAACATTGTTTTAGGTACATAAGTAAGGTTAAATTTACATCAAATAATATAATTTACGTTAATAAGCATACAAACTGACTAACTTAAAACAGTTTTTAGAAAGTTGTCCGATCCCCTATTTAGGGAGGTGAAAGGTTTTTAATGTAAACAATAGTACAATTATAAAACTATTATCTTTGCACATATTATAATTTAAAATTAAGAATTGCACAACACTAAAATTTTATCGTTTGTATTTATTAAATTACTTATACAAAATATTTCAATTACTTAATTTATTGTTTATTTATTTGAATATAATATCATAAACTTCCACCAGTTCAAAATTTGGGTGTCTTGTCTAAAATGAACTGGCGAAACAAACTCTGACAAGAAAGTGATCACTCCCTATAATTTTAATGTTTACAGAAAGAACTAACTATAACTTTAGGTTTTGCAGTGTGTGACCTGGGTTTAGATTTTAATTGACTAATCACTGGATCCGAAGTCGATGGTATATTCCTTCCTTTACCTCTAGCAAAAACTATTAAAATTCACTAATCGATTTAAGTAATGCAGTTTTATGGTTTAATTCGTTTTTCAGGGAATACTAAATATACATTTAAAACACCCAGACCGATACAAACCTGTAACGGTGTGCCATGCCACCGTTTGTATTCCTAGGTTTCAGTATGCAAACTTTTTGTTTTTGAAATTTAACATCATTTCATTTTATTATTCGTCTTTCGTAATTTAAAATTTTGACTAATCAATTATACTCTTTATGGATGTCAGTTCGTAAGAAATTCTCCTATGCACAAGATGAAATTATAATACAATACAATATTAATGGTATAAATTTTACTATGTAATTTTAAAATAATTCATTTATTGTGATAAATAATGTGATATGGTGATACAAATTATATAACATATGTAACTACTAAATTGTAATCTGTATTTTGGAAGATCCAAAAGTTAACTAGAAGCCCGACAAGGGGTATGTATTCGTTTATTTGATAAGTATGTATTAGTTAAGTAACTTACGAACTGTTTTTATAAATTTATTTTTGTTTGTTACAGTTTTTCTTATTACCCTTATTTCACTAATAAATATATACTCAAGCTAAGCAGCCTTATTAATTGAGCCAAGCACCGAACCCGTAACAAACCTACATGTTCATGCACACGGCTTTTTAATCGAGAACATGAACCACTACAGTGTTCAAATAAAAAAAGTAATAGTACTACTCCATGTATGTTTTGTCTGAGAACATCGAATATTTGGTCGAATGTTTGCTATGTTGATGCGTGGGTTGGCTCAGAAATAAAACATTGATTTGAAAATGCATTCAATATTAATCATAGACATTGTATAATGACATTTATAACTCGAAAATATGATATTCCAACAGATACACTTTTATTTTCATAGTTATTTTTGCAGTTTTAATACGCACTGTGGCATTGTAACATGACCGAACGATGGCGTCGTCGCAAACAAAATCAGACCTCACTTTGAAGTGAGGCGTCATTTCTTCGGCCGTTTTTGTGACATTTTTGCGAGCTGTATTGTTGATTGAAGTTTCTGTACCTATATTTAAGTATATACATAAATATTTGCCTTAGGAGGACAATATTATTATATGAAATTATAAGTTAAATATTGTCAGAACTATAAAGCCTTCAATTCTGGAAATATATAAGGAATGCTACCTATCGTAGGTAGAGTAGAAATACATTCAGTGCGATTTCCCGAAATTCCATCGGGAAATGGAATTTCAGTTGAACTGCCGCTTAGCTATTAAGTAATGCCATAGATAATACTCCGCTTCCGAAACGTAAGACGCTTAGGTCTATCTCTGAGGCTACAATGTTAATGCCTTAGCCTTTGACACTCGTATTATAGTCGGGTAGAAAGGTTATTACTTGTTTAAGTAAATATTTTTAACAAATAAGCAAGAAACTTAATGAAGTAAGAACTGTTAATAACTGAAAATAATACTATGCTAACTTTTGTGAGCCAACAGTATTTAAATGTCATTAATTAAATATTTTTTGTTGTTGATAGAGGCTATAAGAACGATAGAAAAATTCTAATATCATCTACTATGAAAATCCGTAATTGGCTTTAAGATATGTTAAAATTGTTCTACTATTATTAAGATAAGAATTTGCTGTGGATTTTTTCTTAAATAAATAAATAAAAATAGCCAAAATCATGCTTGATATATAACTCGGTTTTGTTAGTTTTCTGAATATAACATTATTTTTTGGCTAGATTAAATGAAACATAAAGATAAATAATAAAAATATATTTATTATAATACATAGTTGTAATAAATAAAAATGATAGTGCAGTAGATAAGAAAAAAATAAGAAAAGCAAAATGAAAACAAATAATCGAATGACATTTAAATTAATATAACGATTACGATTTAACTAAAATATCACTACCATTAGCAAAAATTATAAGAAAACAAAATACATGTTATTTTATCTCTTTCGATGGTGTTAATAGTTTAATTAAACGTTATTTTCTTATAAAACAAAATTACTAATCTGATTACGTTACACTGTGACTACCTTAGGATATCGAATAAAAGTTATTTTAGAAATACATAAAAAAATACAAAAAATAACCTAAGGAACTAAAACCTCCTTATTTTAGAATTTGAAGTAAGTTAATTATAGAAAACTTGAACTAATCAAATAACATATTAATAATATAAATATTACTATAGTAAATAAAATATATTATTGCTCTTTGAAACTGAGGATTACTTACTACTGAGGCACCACTACTAAAAATAATAACAAGCACTATATTAATCATTTTGTTTACTTCTAGCAGCTCAAAAACCGGACAGGTAAGTTATGCAACTAAAACTTAAAGCTCCATTCGCGAGCAAAAGTCTTGACACTCTTTTACTATCGTAATGCAGTAGATATTAGCTAAACAAGTGACTTCCTACATTAGTATTAGTACCTTCTAATAAATGTTATATATATTTTAGGAAGAAAATAATAAAGCCTATGTTGAATGAGTGTTTTTACAGTGATATGTATTATTTCTATTGAATTATACATTAAATAAGGCTGTTTTGATTTTATTTACGTTACAAAATATATAAAGAATAAAAACACTGTCTCAGATAGAGAAAGATCGCTGGTTCGAGTCCAGATTAGATTATTTGTGGATTTACAGTGATATACTTATGTGTATTTTATAGAAAACATACATAAAAAGTGTAAGACGCACGTTAGACTTGATAGATTTGCGAAAAGTTATTTCGAATCCGAGTTCAGAGACTGGTGATTATTTAAAGATTTTTTAAATATAGTGATTGTATTTACTTTATGATAATAGTTATATTTAAAAATTGATTTCTGTGATTGTTATTGATATTCTTATATGCATCATTGCACAGTTTAAAGAAGCCATGAAAATGTGGTGAGAAAAAAAGGTTAACTTTACCAAAGAGTTGCATTAATACAGCTTACATAAATAAATGCCAAAAAAATAACAAAATAAAGCTGTTTTCAAACATAATAAGAGTTTTCTTTTCTGTTTAACTTTATAATCTATCGGAATTTGTAAAGTATTTCATAGCAAATATGAAAATTGAAACAAATATACGCATAATTGAACGTACAGATTTTAAGATTCCACTAAGTCACGTTCGCGATACCGGGCGAGGCGCTCGCGCACCTACGCTCAATAAAACTACTTCACTATTCGCCGCGCCTCTCATTCGGTTGACAACGACCCTGGTGCGCGCACGTCAACATGTCGAAAGAAGACGTGATGAAAGCTGGCCTCTACTGCGTTAACGTGGTCTTCGCTGTTTTTGGATTGGTCACCGCCGCAGTGGGAATATGGTTTTTCGTGCAACTAGCAGAGTTCGTCGGCTTAAGAAACAGCAACCATTATTTACTGGACTACCGCGTGTACTGGCCTCAAGTGGCGCCATGGCTCTTCATTCTTCTCGGAATCTTCATTATGATCGTCGCATTCTGTGGATGGTGTGGTGCTAGTAAAGAAAGCAGAGGACTGTTAGGAATGTACGGTGTTGTAATGCTCGTAATCGTATTGCTACAAATAATCTCAGCAGTTCTGATATTCGTTTTCGTCGATGGTGAATATACTGATAGATTTATCAAGGATACAGTGTATGATGGTTACTATAATTCTCAGTCGAATCCGGATGTGTATAGGCAGTTCGGAAGGATCGAAAGGAAACTGAAGTGCTGTGGTGCTAATGACGCAAGAGATTACAGGAGTTGGAGGAATGATTTGCCTCTTACGTGTTGTGCTGACAGTTATTATAGGGCTACTTGTGAGTTCACCGATAAGGAAGCCAACGAGAGGTTAGGTTGTGCTAAAGTGGCTGCTGTTTATACGAAGATTATTAGCTCTTCCATCGCTGGAGCGTCTCTGCTAATTGCTATTGTGGAAATAACAGGCGTAGTGATAGCGTGGAAACTCTTCCATTCATTAAGGGAGGTGGAACATTACATCACGGAGAGGAAGGAAGGTGAAACAGAATGCTAGGCCGTAAGTCAACCAGTATTATTATCGTCACAACATCCGATGTCCCGCCATACGAAACGAAACGATTTGCCTGAATTAACTTAGCCTTAAGTTGAGCTGTTTCCACGGCGCCTCTCGCTTATTATAAATAAATAAGTTTGCCTTTTTTTGTTTAAGGAAAATCAAACTTTGTTTACGATTGTTTAAGACTTTACACATTCCTTTTGTGTCTGTTGTCACTGGACTTTTTTATTTTTAAATTATACTATTGTCTTTAGAAAATCCCATCGTGTAGTAACTTAGATATTAAGATCCAGTTTAGTGACAACAGGTATTTAATTAGAATCGTTCTTAGTCTAAGTAGAATCTCTAATGAATGTTATCTCAGAATTCTTAACATAATAGGAGCTTTATTGTATGTAGCATTAAATACAAAATTCTTCGATAGCATGACATCAGTGGTCAAGTATTTTGTGTATTAATAGCCTGTTGTAGCCATTATGGCGTTGACATAAGAGTTGATATTGTGTGTTATTGTGTATATTTAATTGAGTAGAAGTGCTACTCCCAGGGTCAGATGTTAAGAAGGATTTGAGTGGGTCCAATGGCTTGCATCCTTTGCAGACAATGGAAATTAATGAGGTTCAATTGCCCCCTACCAAGATAATACTTTACATTGGTTACGCATACATTGACGGTTGGTTTCGTAATACATTAAGTCGTTTGCGCAAACGAGAAACCATGAACGTCGATAAAGTTTTTTCGACTTAGTCGTGATTTGTTCGGGTTCAGAATTGAATCCGAATGCTTTGTAGATTTTTATTATTGATTTTAATAACCTTTGGTTGAGTCTTGCGTCATATTTATTTTCTCCACTTGTTTATAATTACGTCATTTTTCCAATACCAGTTCTTTGTTGACAGCGAAGATTTCTTTCGTAGCTTAAAAATCTCATTTACTAGTAGGCGTCGAGTCACATAATATGAATCATAGTTGAGTAGAACCGCTTTCACGAGTCGCAGCTACTTGCGTTCGAAAGGTCTGAGAAAAATGTGACCTCAAATTCGGTACTCTATTGGCAAAGCACTGGTACCTTTTTGAGGCCGAGTTGCGTAACCAATGGCCTGTGGTAGGGTGTTACCCAACACAATGTTTGGTTTCGCTCCATTGCTACATCTGTATATGTTAATTTTTACGTAACATAAAATATATTATGCTGACATACTTAATAAATATTCTTTGAAATTGATGTAACTTATTAGAAAATTATTAAATGATTATTTGTTGTATCTATGTATAATTTTGTAAAATGTGTTTCTTTTTCTGTTGAAATGTGCTTCCGTCCTTAATAATAATAATAAAGCCATATTATCATATTTCAATAATTATTTAGGTAGATTATACTTTTGTAACAGTGTGTTTTAGACATGCCAAAGACAAATAGACGTACAAACCATCTTTTTTATATACAATATAAACAAACAAGTGTATTTTTGCATGCAATTATGTATAACTTTATTTTTTAATAATAATAAATAATGTTAGTTTGTCAAACACTACCGATGTAATAAATATATATTTTTTTGTAATAGAGATTTAAGTTATTTTTTTACGAATAATTTAATAAATTTGTTATTATAATTCGAAACTAGTCTTAAGTCGTTTCTTTTATAATAGAAAGAAATAAAAATGTTCAAGAATAAATACATTTCGTTTTATTGATGATGTCACATTCTTTTTTATCGTGAAATATTATGCTAATGGTTTTATGGTCAACCGGTTCAGGAAAGGTAATTAAAGTTTGGTTTCAAATAATTTTTTTGCTAAAGTTTTCCTCATAAAATTTATCAGCCATTCCAGTTTTATTATTTATTTATCTATTTAAATAAAAGCAAACCTGCCTAACATATATCCACGCACAGCGAAAGAAATTTGGTACAGGGGTTCCTTTCATGATGTAAATGAGCACTAAGAAAGGACTTTGAGAAATTCAACCCTTAAGGGAGTGAAATAGGGTGGAGGAGGATATGGACCACGCGGGCGAAGCCGCAGTCGGAAAGCTTATTTTTGGCGAATATTTAATTCACTAGTTACATTCAGTAGTTTTTTTATTTAATTAGAAACGTTCTCAAATACAAATCTCATTACCAGTTGCGTCCCTATTCCCAGATTTGAGGTCTATGAAACCAATTTCTAAAAATTTCACCGGGAGGAAGACAATTTTATTCAATTATAGAATACTATAATAATTAACTACAACTAGAAATTTATTGTTTACTAAAAAACTTATTCAAGTAAATCACGTGCTTTTGAACCTTGTCCGTGCACTTTTCCCTCATTGCCGTTCTACGATGTTTAACTTATTTTTTTTTAATAATTAAGAGTCACTGAGCATTGGTTTTGCGTTCAATATTATAACCTCCGTGCTTCACATGAACCACACAGGCATATTAAATATTATATTATATTAGTTATTATTAAATAGGAAAGAAAAAGACAATCTCGTCTGATCTTGCTCTGATGGTATATTATGATATTAGAAAAAAAAACTTATAATAATATCATATATAAGAAAGGTCAATACACTCTTAAAACTATAAAATAGTAATTAGCATAAATACCATCAGGTTAGCATATATTTATATATTTTAAAAAATCCAGTCTCATGCTTATAAACTAGTTAATTAACTAAACTTAATCAACTAGTTTAACAATTTACTAAAACAATTTACTTATTTATACTCGTACATATACAAAGAATCTATATCCAAGTACCTACAGACATCGTATCACAGGACTTTTATTTAAACAGACAAGCTGTTTTCTAGCCTTAACATAATAATTTAATTTATGAAGAAAAGTAGTTCCTAAACTTAAAATAGATTGGGTAATTAAAATGTTTGACTCAAACTAGTGCTCCATTAAATTGTCTATGACTAGCTGTTTTCCGCGACTTCGCATGCGTAAATTACAGCTACAGAATACGTAACATGTATTGTAATTATAGTTTATTATATGTATATATAATGATTTAGTTTGTCTTCAGCTTTTAACATTATCTTATTTATTTGATGTTGTAGCATTGGTTAAGTATGAAATTACTCGAAGGTAGATAAGGTCAAATTATTAATTAATTGAAAGATTTGAATGGCATAGGAGATTCGTTTAGTAACAATTCAAGTGATGCAGTAATTTAAATTGATATTGAATTATAATTCAATGTATAAAATATGGAAATCGTGCACAGAAAATGTGATGTTTTGGAGGAACTTAAGCTATGAAGGTTTCTATTACAACTACTATACTTATTGATATAATCAGCTTATCTCGAAAGCGACTTATTAAAGTCGAGTGGAGGTCTTCTGTTGGTTAGTAATAAAATATTGCAGAAACGTCCATTAGAATTATCATTACTTTAAAATGACATTACCCATACAAATTTGACATTCATTTGAGCTTAAAGGTGTCATTAAACCTTAATGGACGTTTGTGCAACTGACTGTTAGTCACTCTTGAGATATGTATTAATTATTTATCACTTTTTGAGGTTTGAAATCGGTTAAATTTTTTCAAAGGTTTTAATTTAGTTATATTGATATTTTTTATATGGTGGGTGACATAAAAATATTAAATATCTATAAAAATATTAAATATCTAAGTTTGAATAGTTTGATAGAAATTGGTTCACAATTTAAGAAGAAATCGATGAACATACCTACTTTCATAAGAAACTAGCTGACCCGACAGACTTCGTCCTGTCAAAAAGATTTGTAATGTGGCAGTTTTTTTGTCTACGTATTTCTGTGCTCCAACGCACACACGCACATTGTTTTGATAGATATGATCTTTGACGTTAGGAACACACCTACATTGCTTAGACAACAGTGAGTGCTTGTAATTTAATATGAACTTTATACCATAGCAATAAAGCTCAAATTGACTACGTTTTAGTTACAAATCATTTGTATGGGAAAAAGAAAAGGGCTATTTTTAGGGTTTTTCCAGCAATAATTCTAATTTTTCTCGCCGTAAAAACCATCCTTGAACTTCAACGAACATTTAAAAAAAAGATTTGGCCAAATTGGTCGAGGCGTTGTTGAGTTATGCGCTTACCAACACATTTTGCGATTCATTTTTATATATATAGATATACATACTCTTTGATCACAGAAAATCCTCCTTTCGGATTTTGAACGAATTCAAAATACGCAATCTTTTGATTTCTAGCTGAAACAAACATATCATCTAAATATTATGGTCATACCTTGTAAAAAGAGTGTTTTTGTTTTGTTTTAAAAGGAAAACGGCTAATTTGATTGCCATAAAATTTAAATGGGATCACCTTGGTCCATCAAGCTATCGAGTAAAAAAAGATTTTTGTAAATCGGTTAACAATTGGCAAAAATATAGGTGAATGACATAAAAAAAAAATAGCCGTCGAACATACAATCTCTTCCTTATCTAAAGATGTTTACAAAGTCAACTACATTACCCTTTGGCATTTCCTACGGTATTCGTTAAATTAATTGTATAAATAGTTTTTATTCGTGTTAAACTTTTTAGTGGAAAACGTATGCGAAATGGTTTTAGGTCAAACAATTGTTTCGCTTGGTTTTTTTAAAATATAGCATTGTCAATATTTTTATAACAACATCTTTCTGTACTCTAACCATTGTGTGAATGTCACGCGTGCAAAAAAAATGCCATTGTAATTTTTGTTACATCTCGTAGGCAGAATGTGGGAAGTACATACATATTATTATGCGTTAGTTTTAATTACATGACAGAATGTCTGCCGTGTTTTTCAGCATTGAGAAGTGATATTCTAAAGCAGGGAATATAATAAAGACTGCACTATTAAAAAGAGATCCACTGACTTAAAAAAAACCATTGAAGTGTAGTAAAACCGGAGAAAAGGAAGTATAACGATTAAGTATTAAGTATTAAGAGATTCTAAAGCAGGGAATATAATAAAGACTGCACTATTAAAAAGAGATCCACTGACTTAAAAAAAAAACATTGAAGTGTAGTAAAACCGGAGAAAAGGAAGTATAACATTACTTTAATAAAACCAACTCTTAGAATCGAAACATAATTGTATACCCATAAAAGCGGTTAACTGCCGTACCTATTTGAAAGTAGATTATTTATGGAATATGAATAGAAGGATTTATGGATTTAAAACACTATGGATTTCGCTACTACGTATACGTATGCTACGTATTTTAACAATACTGAGGCAATTCACCTAAACAGCTAAAGGAAATTATATTGTAAACTTTGATTAAATTTTAAATATGCAAAATTGATCTAATATAACTGATTATTATATTTGATCATTTTCAGCATTTACAATTTTATATCGACATTAAGCATTGCGAATGCAGAATTTATCAAAATATAATAATTAGTTCTTATTATGTTTGCATAAGTAATATTATAATATAATGCTAGTTTTAAACATCAAAATAACAGTGGATGTTTATTACACAATGTCACCTCCAGAATATGTAAAGATAATAAACTATTCACAATTTTAGACCAGTTGGAATGCTGTAAGCGCATCGTGTGGCCTTGCATTCAAAGTGGTGCCACTCAAACGGGCAGCCTTGATGATCCGATGCGAGCACGTTCGTAGTATAATCTATCGATCTTTTTGATTATGGCCAGTTAATGATTACATGACAATCCTAGCTGTTGTGTTTTTTCTTCTATGTTAATGTTTTGTCTTTGAAATTCCTTGCCTAACTCTAGCCATGTGATATGACATTTCGTTTCATTATACTGAGTACTTTATCATGTGCTTTAATAAATGTGAACAAAGGGTTTAGCCGGATACGTATGACGAGTCGGCCCCCAAATGGGAATCGATATTGAAAACTTATGTTTTAATATCGACTTGATGTTCAAACACGATTTATGTACTTTTCGCGACCGACTTCCGCTTTGACCTTGAGATAGAGAGCAAAATATCCGTATGCTTGACTATTACTGAATGTGATATATCTCTGAAGCTAATTAAGATAAAGAAGTGAAACTAACGCGAGGTGTTAGGTTACATTACAGAGTATATCACATATATTTTTTTATAATTTTTAGAATAAAAAATTACATTAAAAAAATAAAAATAAAAAAAATCATGTTTTTTTTTCTGAGTTCTCTGTGACTTACAATCACGAAATTAATATATGTTATGCTCCTTTATGTGCTCTATCACCCATAAAAATTGCGTGAAAAAAAAGTTGGTGCAACACAACGAAAAAAAATTATATGTGATTCGCGCCTTGTAGTGTGAGTGTATAAACAAACAAGTTCGAACTTGTTATCGAGCTGTTTACTGCATCGTTTGTTTAGCAAAAGTAGCAGTCATTTGTATTACACAAGAAGGCAGTTTGGGACTCAAATTCTGACAGAATTTGAGTCCCGAGAGGTATTTTGTATCAGCATTTTGAAATTATTAACTATCGAACCAAATCATTATTAAGTAATAATGTCGAGAAAGTGTAAAAATTGTAACAAGTACCTGTGTAAGATTCCTGGTTATAAAAAAATTATAAAGAATGAAGAAGAAGCTAAAGTGTTTAGTGACTGTTTGAATAAAATCGTAATAGTTAATGATATTTTTTGTAAGAAGTGTCGACTTATCCCATATATTAACAAAAAAGCTTCTACTTCTAAATGTGCAGCATTTAACT